CGGAATTTCTATTCTTTCATTGTGTGAGAAATATAGAAAGGGATTTACAAGTGGCGTTGAAAAAGGTGCAAAAATAGTAAATGATTTTTATTTATGATGATGGGGAAAAATTAGCGAAGTTGACTTTATCTCAAAGTTGATGGAATTGACTGGGTATGAAATGAATCAAGAACAACGAGATAGAATTTAAAAAGCCATGTCAGATTCAGATCTTTTAACTGGCTATTTACTCATTGAGGATGCCGAAATATTTTTGGAAATTATTGGAGAAACAAAAGAAGACAGAAGAAAGGGGATAGTTAAAATTACCAAAAATGTTAAAATAAGAGTCAATGAGAACTTAATAAGACAGAAAAACAGATGGTTACCATCTGAAGTTCGATTAAAAACAGGGGATCGTACAACTAATCGTATTGAAGGTTTTTTCGGACTCATAAAGTTGATAACAGGATCAAGAGAAACTCCTCTGGATGAAATTATCAAAATTATTGTATGTCAATATCGAAACTGTGATACCAACTTGCAAGGAGAAGTATTTCAAGACACTACAACCGCACTTTTAATAATACCACCAACTATACTTCACTTTCTTAGTTGTGGTGTTGTTAATACTCTCTGTAATATCTATAAACATTCTAATGAACTTGTTAAGTGTTCAACTCAACAACCTTGTACGACAACTTGGTGTGAGTGTAAAGCTTATCAAACGGCCAATGTTCCGTGTATTCATATGGTCAAATTGTATGTCGAATTTTCAATTTTTCCTTTCCCACTTCTTGCTTTTTCAAGAGAAAAGCTAATAGGAAATTTATACAAAAAGACAACACACACGATCAGTGTTCGCAATGAATACTTTTCTGACTCTTTATGTGACCTCAATGATCTTCATTATCGTCTCGAAGAAGTGGAGCCGGCGATAAAAAGCAGCCCTTTTCTCGAGGACAGACTGCGTTCGTTTTTAGAAAAATGTCGAGATCTAAGTGAAAAATGTAAAGCATCACCCGACGAGATACACACAACGGTTGTTAGTAGTAAAACATTTTCTACTGTTACAAATTTGGTTCATCACATAAAGGTGAACATCAAGGATCCAAAAATACAACACCAAATTGGAGAAAGACCACGAGTATTAGTCGATAGAGTGGAAAGGAACAATGCAACAAAACCACATCGTACAAGAAAGGGAGGTTTTGGGATAAAACAAATAAGGAAGTGTAGTTTGTGTAATGTTGTTGGTCACAAGAAGCAAAATTGTTCAAATAAATGCTTGAAATGTATGGGATGGGGTTATAATAAATTCTTTTGCACAAATACAAACTCCCAACAATGAAATTTGAAACTACAATGATAATTAAATTAATTTTTTTTGTTAAATAAATAATATAAAAACTACAATTATGGGAATTAAATTATAAAATTAATATCATTTTAATTATTTTGAAAAACAAAAAAAAATAAATGTTATAGATAAAAATGTTCTATTTTAAGAAGTTGTGGTGGCAAAGGATGGTCCCAAAAAATTATTACTATAAAGATCAACAAAAAATTGTCGTACACGTGTGATTTTAGTATCAAACATACCAAAAAATCGGGAACAATTGTTCACTTAAATATTTGAATAAACAATTAGGAAAAAATTGGGTTTTGAAAAAATAAAAACCTGAAAAATTATACAAAAAATACTAAAAATGTGTACGACTATTTTCTGCTCTACGACAGTTTTCTGGTGCTCTTTAATTGTTGATATTATTAATTTATTAAAAATAGAAAAATTGTTGTATTTTTATGCTAATAAATTAAAAATTTATATAATGATGGGTTTAACGATTTTTATATTAAGTTGGTTAAAAAGTTTAAATTGTTTTCAAATTATAATGAATTAGAATTTTTATTGCTATAATATTATATAAGATTTGTAATATTTCAAAAACATAAATTAAAACTCAAAAAAAACAAAAAAATAATAAAAAATAAAACTAAACTTTTAATTGAAAAATTTTAATTCAGATCGAAATAATTTATTTAATAAAAATAGAAAACGAATTTTTTCATATTTGTGTCGATACAATACAAAATCAAAAGCGACCACTTAATTGTTGTTTTTGGAACTAAAAATAAAAGTTTCATAAACAAATAAAACGTCATCGAGTTGCGCAAAAAAAGACAGCGAATGTTTAAAGGGATTTCAATCATTCAATCCATGCTTAAATTGAATCAATCTATATGTGAAGGAGTCATTATGTCTAATCAATAGCAAATAATTTTGGTAGTAATTTAAATTAGTATTGTGTACAAAAACGAAATTCATTCTCAAATAAAAGCGTCTTATATATCTTATTGTTTGTTCGGTTCGATAGTTATATAAAATTAAATAAAAATAAAAAAAATAGAAAAATAAAAAAATAAAAAAATAAAAAAATAAAAAAATAAAAAAATAAAAAAATAAAAAAATAAAAAAATAAAAAAATAAAAAAATAATAAGTGGTTGTCTATAATAAAAATAGTTATCCTTATCGAGTTGGTTTTTTTCTTACATATACTTATATATATATATATATAATTTTTAATATTAAACACTTGAAAATAAAAAATAATATATACAACGTTGAGTACAAGGGTTACAAGAGTTTCTCTAATATTTTCAAGATGCCGGTGTTTTTTATTGAAATTTGTAAATCATATTTTGAGTAAATTAAAAACTGGATTTTCCAAATAATAAAAAGAAGCAAGAAAAATTGACTTCGAAACCGTTTTTTTCGGGTCAAAACAACCAAAAAACATATAAAAATAATCATATAAACTGAAAAATAATGAACTTTTTATTTAATATTTGTATGCTGAAAAAACACCAATTTTTCACATTATTAAAAGGCGACAAATTTTGACTATTTTATATATTTGCATAATATAACAATATGATTTTGGTTACAAAATGAAGAAAAAGATCAAAAGTGGTTTTTTAGCTCAGTGTTATTTTTATTTTAAAATAATAAATAAATATTATTTATTATTTTAATACCAAAAACGTTATTTTTCTATACAAAAAAGTAAATGGTAGTGAAGCGGTTTTTCCCGCCAGCCAAAATGCTTGCTCAAAAGTGCTTTTTAATAAAAATTGTTGAAAATATCACGGAGACATTGACTGTTATCATCCCAATACATTATTGAAAATGCATAGTATTTTTTTATTTATTTACAAATTTATAAAGTTATTAACAACAACTTTTTCGATATTTGATAAACTATTTTGTTTTTTATTAAAGACCTGCACCATACCTGCACTAGCCCATATAACAATTTAAAACACAAAAAACATAAAATTTGTTATAAAAAACAGAAAAAACTCATTATATTTTAAATGAAATTTCTTAAAGCAATTGAATCTTTGTTTTGACCAATAAAACACATTCTAAACTTGTAGAACCATCTTTTTGAATTTTCTTTTCATAAATCTATTCAAGAAAAATCACGAAACAACAAAACATCAAACGTATTTTTAAACCAAACATCATTTCAATAGTAATAATGGGCTAATAATTTATTAGAAAAACAATAAAAATGATGGGATATGTTTTTTTTCAAACGCATCTTTTCAAAACACAATAAACATGACACATTATAACTCCAATTCATATGATTGTATTATAATGATACTTAAACTTTTAACTTGTGTTATAAGTGGTAATATAATGAGAATAAAACTTTTACTTAAACATAACCCACAACAAAAAATAACAACATGTGTCATTTAAAAAGACACATCTTTTCATAAGAATCTGAAAGTGTTTCTTATAATGTTTTAATTATTTTGGCTATATAAACGGGATATATTCCGAAACTTATCGTGTTAATAAATACAAAACATAATTGGTGATTCCAAGACACATAAAAACACTTGAATATATAGCTCGACTGATTACAACTTAAAGATTGGTTTTATATAAAGAATGAATAATAACAATGTCTTGATTATTAACACAAAACATGATAAAACATCATTTTGTGCTGATCACTTGATCAACAAAAATATATTGAATAATCACAATGGTTGAGAGAAATTACAAAAAACAAACAAAATATCGTTGTTCATTTATTATAAATATTAATAAATTTATTAAAATAAAATAATAAACATGATAAAAATATCAATCAAAGAGCGAACAGTAGACTCAGAACATAACAAATAAATAATAATTACCATTTTCAACAACACTGAATATAAAAATTGTTCAAGTGAATGAAGAAACTGACATCATGATATCAATTAAGAGTGCAGTATATGATGGCTTCAAGTTATTGTAGCTTTAAAAATACTTGAAAAAACAAAAATGAAACAATTAAAGATTTAACGTTGGTAAGGTCATCTGAAATTAACATTTATTTGGCATATTGTATTCAATTTAGACAACATTTAATATGATGTAATTGACTACTATTTGTGTTTTATTCTATAAAATTTACCTTTTTTATTAAAAACGTGTTTTATTTTTGTTTTTTGGTTATTGTTGTGTTGTTGTGTGTTTTTGTTTGTTTTGTTTCAAAGTCCAATAATTATCAATTATTGTTCATTAAGTAATATTTTATTATATGTTTTCCATTAAAATAATAAATTAAACCCATAATTTATGTTTAAAATATATAATCAATTCAAAAGTTAAGAACATATTAATTGTGTAATTGATTTGTTCTTTAGGTGGGTTTGGTTTGGATCATTTTTCAATAAGTTATAAGTAATAATATAAATGAAATTCTAAATAAAAAATTATTAAAAATACTTTGTTTAAATTCTGATTTAATAATAATAGAACAATGTTTACAACTCATTAAAATGTGTTATTATAATAAACGTATTCATACAAATATAAGTTCTGTATTCTATTTGTTTTCGAACATCTTATTTCCAATAAGATGTTTTAAAACATTTTTCGGTTTTTATTTTCAAAATGAATGATATTATTATAATAAAATGTATTAAACTTTGATATATTTTGTTTATTAAATTGAACGAATATACACCAAAAAGAATTTAGTGTGAATAATAACAATTTTTCCCGAATAAATGCATGCATATCTTTTATTACATTTGTTTTTTATTTGATTTATGTAAATAGAAAAATGTTCACATTAACACATTATTTTTTATTATAACTTTATATAAAATAAAACTAACGAAAGACAATTCTATGATGTAATTACTTTTATAAATTGTTTAAATTCAAATCTTTATATTATTTGAGCGAACTATTATTATTTTTGTTTTATAAGATGTTCTTTTCTTCATAAATTTTAAAATGAAATTTCTATTTTTCCAAGTTTTTTCCTTCAACTTTACTTTTTATTTAATCATTTTATCTCATTTTGTCCATGTTTTTTTGTAAAAATGTATTGCCATGTAAGCCAGTGCAAGTATGTCGCAGGTCTTTATATATTTATGTATCATTTTAAGCGCATACTTTTCTAAAAAAGAATAAAATAACCAAAACATTAATAAAATTATTTTAATTTATACTATAACTTGTTTCAAAAATTGAATCAAATGGTGGGTCTGAAAAGAAATGAAAACTACTTAAAATGAATAGTTCAAAAGAGACACACAAAAACAACTGCGGCTTCAATACTTCGTGTCAAATAAAATAATAATGATCATTCTATTGGGTGTCATAAGCTTTCAGTTGAATATAAGTAAAATGAGAATTGGTTTATAAACCGTTTTTCAAAAATTTGTACTGTCATATTTTTAAA